TTTTATACGTTTTTGTGCTTTTATGATATCTGACTGTCTCACCATCACCAACACAGTGACACCGGTTTGTCCTTGGATACGGTGGGCAAATATTCTGCCTATTGGGAACAGACTAGACGACTGTACGGTCCGTTCGAGAGCACAGTAACAATGCGATCGGGCAATGCAGATGTCTATGAGAACCAAATCCCTGGTGGTCAATACACAAACTTACAGTTCCAGGCATTCACCCTCGGTCTCGGGGATCAATTCGAACAGGTCAAGAAAAAGTATACTGAAGCAAATCAGCTTCTTGGCAATATTATAAAGGTAAGATCTATGAGAGAGATGCTAGTCAACTGGCATTGATCTGCCACAGTCAGTTAAACTAGTCAATGTTTAATAAAGGGAACGAAAGGATTTGTCCAATAAGCAAGATACTAACGGAGAACGATGAGTGTTTGAGGGATTCTTCTCGGTTTCTAGAAGCTGATGAAACGTTTATACATGGGCATCGATTTCATAGAGAAGTGTAATCATAATAATGAATATGAATTGGAAAATTTCTTGAATAATGTAAATTACCTTCCTCGTGACGATTGTATTGCAGCCAATTAAGCCAATTAAGGGTATAGGTCTGGATTCATCTCAAGTTTCGTTTGAATCGTTGAGGTTAAACATATCTTTGTCACGGCGGTTAGTACATAAAAGCATAGAGAAAAGGAGATTATAGGTATTGTGTAAGCAGCTCACGTACTGCTCTGAAAAGATTTTGCGCAATGGAGAGTGTCCGGTCGTCATGTTCTGCGCACCAGGTTTCGGATGCTGGCTGCTTCATGTGCCGCGAACGAGACCGTCAATTGTTGAGACGGGTAGACACCTTCATAATTTTCATTGATCCTATTTGCTTTGTTCAATGACAAAAGTTTCAATCGGACCTTTAATCAAGTCGTCCAACTGGTGCTCGCATTCATAACACCCTCTGTCACCATAATCATAAAATAACCCTTTGCTTACAATACACATTTTCGAAGAGGTGTACGCTATTCAGATTGAGTTTGATGGATAACAATCAATATTAATTGTAAAATCTCTGTTCACCGTAGGTTTTAGCACCTGCACAAAGATCTATCGTATCCCACTTCAAAAATATTATGTCTAAATCTTCAGGGGAAATAGCGTGATCTTAGATTGTCAGTGTTAATCCCGAACAATTCAGACAACATCGATGTAATTAGTCTTTTTATACTGAGTGGTCCGCTTACCTATTTAATGAAAATGTTTATCTATTATTTTTATTTAGCTCTAGATATTCATTAAACCTGTATCATGCGCGTGATTTACAGTATATTCTGATATTTATTTCACAAAAGGTAATTAATTTGAAAGACTTATTTGTAGGTTACTTTGGGATTTGAAAACTCTTTTCAAATGATGACTCAGACAATGTGCATTCCCGAGAAAATTCCAGATTATCAGACAGATAGGACCCAAATCTGTACCAAATCACGGAATGACTTGAAAATGAATTTGTCCCGGTTTCCGTGGAAATGACATTATACATTGAGCCTCAGTAGTAAAGAAATTCGAAATTAATTTCTTTTCTCGTTCTGCTGCGGAATTTCAGAGTTGAACATCTAAATACAGTACGTTTTTGGGATCTCATCAGAGATTCTCATTTTGCATCACCACCAGTTGAGTTTGTCTTGCACATTGTCCATTTGTTTTCTGATTCCACTCATGTTTAGGTCACACCATCATCAAAGATTGTCGGGGACTTGGCTCAGTTCATGGTTCAAAATAATTTGACTGCACAGGATGTGATGGAACGGGCAGATGAGCTATCGTTCCCTGCCTCGGTTGTTGAGTTCTTCAAGGGAGAAATTGGAATTCCCCACGGAGGATTTCCCGAGCCCCTGCGCACACAGGTTTGTTTTTCTGTCTAGTTTAGTCTTATCAGCTGGCTGATTTCATTAAGCTAACAGTAGGCATTTGGTTGATTCATCAGGTGTGCTCATCTGTACTCAGTTCCTCCTCAATGACCGCAAAATGTGGCGAAATGTCTATCGAAGAACGAGTTCATCGTTTCTCAGGATGCTTCACTAAAATAAGCTTTCTCCGAAACCTAGTAGTCCAAAGCCACAATCGCAGAAATTAAGGACATAATTATAGTATCATATCATACTATCCAATCCATGTTGACTTCAAATTGTTGTGATAAATACCAGATCTGTAAGACCAAAACATTGTTAATTGGTTTACATATTCTGATAAAGTTACGCCAGATTGACAAAAGTCCGCCCGAAAGTCTCGTCTTTAGTTTTTCAAACCCAAGACAGTTATACTTTTGTCAAATCGTTTGATGAAATCCGTTCCGATTCCCTATCACCAGTAATGAAATTGGTTCTAGTAATTTCTCCGCTGATAGCACTTACCACCGCTACTTGTTCAAATCCACCGAAGTTTGTTGTGAATCACTAAATAAAATATTGCAGAACTTTGCATACCATATTACCAATTCCAATATATGAGTTGTCCAAAACACAAATCGTATTGTAGTGCTGTACTGTTTTTATTCCCATTATGGTTAGTATTCCTGAGGTCTTCGAATTGTCAGATATAAATCAATCACACATCTCAGCGATACGGCAACTTTCAGCACTTTAATAAACCTTTCTGAAGTTATATTTACGGATTGATTGAATCCAGCTGACTTTCACACATTTTATCCAACGTTCATCGGCCCAGTGAAGTAGTAAGTTGCATTTATGTGTTATATAATAATACCTTATTGTTCTCCGTGGTGAAATCAGCAACTTCTACCGCCCTGTACGTTCTCCAATATGAAACTGTCACACATTTTATATCATCTCCGTATACGATTTAGTAATTTTAGAAATCACTACCCCACAGGTTTCTGTAAATTTTAGATAAAATGATAGATTCTACAGTTATAACTCTAGACAGCTCGAATTAATTCGATTGAGTATGCCGCGGTAACTATAACCAAGGTAAGGACTGGTTTTTGGAGTGTATAATGCTCTAGGAAATGCCGTTGTAATTAGTACGACAACTTGCTCCTTCAATCACTGAAGTTTCCGGATAATCATTTTAGAGTACCAAGGCTGAATTAGCTCATTCGATTGTTCAGAGGCACCAAGCACTCTTGATGGTCTTGGTGTGGTTTTCACTCCTTGTGAGATCGTCATCACAGACACTTTGCATTTGAATGCTCTTATCTCGTGGGGAATTAACGATCTCTCAAGGAGCGAAACTCACACCTAAGACCATCAAGTGTGCCCGTTGCCTCTGAACAATCGAATAGGCTAATCCAAGCTTGATGCTCTAAATTTATCGACCCATTCGCACAAGGCAATGACTGTCGACCGGGTAGCTCAAGAGTAAGGGTTTGAAGTCCCAACCCGATGTTCGCGGTTGGAGTCTTGGGAGGGACAGTGAAAGTATGCACTGCTTATGAGCCCCAAACAGCTGTCCACTCCTCTTTGTCGGTCATCATAAACACTTCCATCGCATTTGAATCCTCGGATTATCGAGTTATCTGTCATACGATAAAAGTTTATCCGTACTCACAGAGCAAGTGACCAAAACTTTTGGGCGGGTTTAACGGCTAGATAAAACTTTTGTAAACTAGTTTGCCAGAAACAAAATCCCTGAAAAAACTATTAATTGACCAAGAAATCCAATGCCTCTGAAAAAATTCCGAGATCCAGAGTTCGATGTTTTCTTCTCGTCAAAAACAAATACGTCCATAAGTCAGTATCCTTTTACCTTCATTCGCGATAAACACCATCAACAGGGTTAGAAATCAACAAATAATTCAAGTAGTGAAACAGACAAACAATTAGTTATGGTAAAACCCTTAGGATCAGTAGATATTAATTACTGGGTGGAAATTTGCTTCAGGCCAAAAGTTGTTCTGATTTGTCTATATTTGAAAACAAATCAGCAAAACCACGTGTTTCCCGGGGACGTCACCAGTTCCTCTTGACCGGTGACTCTTTCTGTTAATCCGACTTCTGTCACCCAATTTATGTCTTGTTTTCAACTGATAAATAAACTATATTGTTTTTAATTTTGTAAGTACAGAAAATTCGCTATTTTCTACAAATCTTGTTCCTGAGAAACCCAACAATCAGCAGCTCGTGTTGGTTAAATAGTGGCCCCCCAAATTCTCTGGAACGTTTCGGTAAAAGGAGGTTCACTGTCGTACAATCCATTTTGATCTTCATATGCAAGATACTTTTCACCGACCAGTTAACTACTTGCGATAACTTAAAAGTCCCTCAGCCAAAGCTGTTTATTACATTTCTATTATTTTAGCTTTATAAACTTGTGTAATATGTGTGACAGCAATAAAAAGTGTATAAAACGGTAACGATGGAAACGATCGTGTTTCAGTTTTTCAACGTTTGTTATACTTTCTTTATATTCACTGTTTCGTTCTTTAATATACAGTGTTTGGATATGCCCGAATTTGTTATTCTTTTCCAGGTACTTCATGGGAAAGCAAGTCACACAGAGCGAATTGGGAAATCCTTGCCACCTTTCGACTTCAAACAGCATGCAACTGATCTTCGAGATAAATTCCGTCGCGATTTCTCCGACAAAGATGTGATGTCGTCCGCGTTGTATCCAAAGGTACAGTTTAATTTAACTTCTGTCCTGGATAACGGGGATTACGGATGTAATAATGATTTTTAACCTGATAACGCATGTGATTGATGACAATGGGGATTGTGTTTCTTGGATATCATGAATATGACCTCTGAGTAGCATTCCTAAACTAAGAGGTAATATAACTAATGTTCTGGGTTAACTTCGAGTTGATATCAAACTGATCGTTAATTCTTGATCAACCGTGACAACTTGACACTAATATACATTAAAATTACCTTGACAATTTTGTGATTCGAGCGGCCTGTGATAACCGGAAGCAAATATTCTTGCGTCTTTTCAAAATCAAACAGTTTAAAATTTGGTTAAAATGTTGTAAGATTAAAATTCAGCTCACAGTTATTTGTAAACAGACGACCGGTAAATGTATTTCTAAAAGAGTAGCCCGCTATGCTACAGATCAACTATTTAATTCTCTCAATTCCAGTGAACCTCCCACTGCAGACCAAGAACATGGTAACTAAGTTGATTGACCTTATTCATAGTGATGGCTTACACACGAGCGCAACCTGCGGAACATTGTCATCTGTTTTTCCTTCTCTTTGTCCAAACAGGTCTTTGATGACTTCGAAGAATTCCGTTCTCACTACGGGCCGGTGACAAAACTGCCAACACGGGTGTTCCTGGTTGGGCCGAAAATCAACGAGGAAGTTCCGGTAAATGCTCAAGCATACGTCTACCTCTATTGCTGGATAATATCGGACGTGGATAGCAATGGGTTGTAATGATTTCTAGACAGAAAGTCTGGTCACTGAACAATTTCAAAACACTCACTCAGCAGGCCAAACTATTACAAAGAGATTTTCGGAATGCACGCTATTTAAATCGAATGCAGACCACGATGTAATAGGATCATGCTATTGTACAATCGCACATACAAATTAAGTGTGGTGAATTTTAATGTCACAATTCATTGCAGCGTACGAGCCGATTGAATGAAAGCAAAGACAAATTTTCGGATCACGGTAGGGAGACGAAATGCAACCTGACTAAGGCCTACTGACGTGGGTGAAAAAAAATTGTTTACAAATGAGAAAGGTAACCTGAATGTTATCAGTGATCATATCTTCAACGATGGGAATAACCTACACAGAACCGGAAGGAAAGCGAATCGCTAAAAACGAACGGAGCAAAACCAAAGCTAAAAGGACAAATAAAAATACTGCCGTCTTAGTCATGAAATTAAGTGAATTCAACCTAAACAACCAACAAAATGCAGCAAAATGGGGTCAGTGTTGGAAAAAGATCTAATGAAAACTGGGAAACAAAATGATTCAATTATTACAGTTATATCCCTTTATTAAACTAAATTTAATCTCTTTCCAACCGATCAAAACGGGTCATTATAGTGGACTCACTACCAGAACAATATTAAGCCTTTAAGCTAATCAGTGTTTGCTATGTGTGATAAGCCATCAAAAAACACACTTGATGGTTTCGTTTACAATCAAATATTCAGCATTTCAGTCATGGTGTGGACGCCATCGGTTCTAGAAAAAGTCCAGGGCTTTGTGTATTCCGATGAAGAATCCTTCTTATTATTTTTTTATTCTGCCAAGCAGGCAGTCAACATCTCTTATGATGCATACTTGCTACTCAACCCGTTAAGTCAGCTTCAGCATATTCATTCTTTCACTGAAATTACCGACATTCTGAAAATGTCATTAGTTTTGTAGTATTTACCTTGTTTTCTTTGCGTATCAATGCTGCACTACTCGAACTATGCGGAGGGTACAACACCTGAAAATGGTAATTGTAAGCGGTGCTCATTCTCTTCTATCTGCTTGTTTCTAATTTTCCTTCGATGTTCACGCCAACCGGTTTCTTATTACGTTTGCTTTAGGTCCAACTGGAGCCGGGTAAAGTGCTGTATTTGAAAACCTTGGCTGTGGCCAATACACCAACGAGTGGTCACCGCGAGGTGTTCTTTGATATGAACGGCCAGTTGCGCTCCATCTTGATTACAGACAAGAAAGCAGCTGAGGTAAGCCGAGAGATTTGTTGAATGTCAGTGATAGTGATACTAGATATATTGTACTCATCATCAGTGTGAGGCGATCCTTCTACTCGGTTTTCGCTCACACTTATAAGGTTTTACAAAAAAGCATGCTAGTTAGTTTCATATTAGCTGCAACCGGTGTAAATATTACTAGTTATATCAGATACATCCACCTATAGAATATATAGACTTAATAAATGAGCTCACTTTCAATAATCCTTTAGGATGACAAGTAAAAGCCGTTTCATCTTTAGCGTCGAAAATAATGATTTCCACGAATAAGCACGTCGAGCAACGGATGAAGGAACGAACCAAAGACAGAACGAGGGGTATCATGAAACCCCAACCACCAGGTCAAGATGAAGCTGGACAGAAATATAATGACAATTCTGAGTTCAGTGCAATCTATNATTATTACATAATCGCAGATGCAGATGCTTCCCTCAAAAAAGATGAAACGTTCTGCAGGCTCTTCCAACTGATATAGATGTCCTCTAACAATTTTATCTGAATGGTCAGATTTTATTCGCTTTCGGCCCTCAGCTCTAGGTTTAATATAGCTATTACAGTTGCCTTTTTAGGTAATAATCTTATTTGGCTACGTCGAATAATACGTCTGATCTTCAAAGTATCCTGTTCTTCTCCTCCAGGTTAAAAATAAGAAAAACAGCTGTTTTTTTAGGGGATTATTATACTATTCCCTTAGGGGAACCTATAGTTAATCAACAGATGAAATCAGTAGGAAGTAGTGGCTAAAATGTCGTATTAACAGAAGGATCCTTTCAAAGGACTTTGCCTTATCGTAAATGATCCCAAAATTAACGATGATCAACTTGGTCCAATAAGTACCATTACAAGGATGACATTGCTACTAGAATCTATCCTAAAATCGATAAAGAAGGCAGTGGCAACTGATCCAAGCAACTAATACCCTAAATGGGGTAGATGGTGAACAGAGATGGGGATCATTCCCGAGCAGGTTACTCTGTGCATATGCAGCCAGTGCCCCATGAGCTGATCTACGATCAACGGTGGATGAACAGAAAACATTGATCTGTTTGGGAACAAAAATCTCTGACTTTTTAGGAATACGCAAGTATTTCACATAAATCCTGCGAGTGGTTGGGTTTAGCTGTGTTAGAAACAACCATCGTTTGTTTATTCGGTACCCGCCAATCTAATTGCGTTTGGACGCAGCTCCACGAATTCTGTATTTGGCTGCAACGAGAGGATGAAATTGATAATCCTGCAAGCATAAGTGCTCACAGAGCGTGACTTCAGTGCGACAGAGTGCATCACGCGCACGACTCCAGTGTTCCCGGACTGTGAAAGGGGCACATATTTGTTCGCACTTATACAGCGATTGAACTATCGATCCTATCGATCAGTAATTTTTCTGAACCCCATAACGACCATTCACTTAAGTGCATGAAGTGAGAATATCGATGAGTGGATTCCTTCATTTTTTGTCAGTTGTAATTTAAAAGAAAGTAAGAAGTGCGAACTGATAACACAGGATGTGCTGTATCTCCTGATTTCCCATCCCCAAGGGGTGCATGTTTCAGACACATATGTACTTTCGAGGATACCCAACATATTTCTTATAGTTGTATGCTAGTTCATCTGTCTTTTTGTACAATTGCTTGCCGTGAGCGATTATATCTGATGATTTACCATCCAAATAATGAAATGTATGACGATTTTCACTCTCTTTTGTTTTTATCCGAGGATTAACTTTGGTCAAACAGAAAAGACACCAATGTTTATCTGTCATGCAGTAAAATGTTCTTTTTCTGATTCCCTTAAGTCTAAGGAACTCAATTTATGAATAATACTTCATTTCAGAATACATACAACGCCATAATGACCTGTTTTAAAAGAACGATGAACACATGTTGTTCACACCATTTACGAAAGTGCATTCTGTATAACTTCGGTATTTGGTATTTTAAAAACCATCAAAATATACCAATAGATCCCATTTGAATAAACAGTCAGTACCTCAAACGGACTTAGTTGGGACGAGTGAAAAACCCAGGCCAGCAATCTTATTTCGGCAATCCCAAGAAAAATACCGAGGCAACAACCGAATTGATAGCGAGCTTTGATACGTTTATGACAATCTGCAGTACGGAATTCAGGGAGGGCAAGAGCACGGAAAAATTCACCTGAAAGTTTGCCAAATCCGAAGTAGTGTAGGAACTCGTGATAAATGACAAAATATAAAAGGTAAATAGTAACAGCATTCAAAAATTAAAATAATTTTACTTTATTTCAATTCCGTTGAGGGTGCGCAGGACTGAAAATGACTAGAGCCAATTGAGCGCCTGGAAATTTATTTGGAGGTATACTCACAGGAGCGGCACCTACCAACTCGATTAGAATTTCAGCTTCTATTGGACGAACGATGGTTCTCTGCAGTCGTCCGACCAGATGTTTTGTTCCCGGCGCTTCCTTTGTCTCCCAACATTTCGAGTCAATAGTTGACTGATAGATCTTTGTTTTTATGTTGAACTCAGGACAGGACACAGGAACTGCGGTGAAGCTAGAAGAAGTTCAGTTTCTTGCACCATATGAGCTCGGATTGAGTAACGTAGTGCTTTGAGAATCTTGGTGTTTCAGGTTTTTTAAGAAACTTGGATTTGTAAAGCGATTCCGCTACTGAAGGTCCCACGGGCAATTGAACGATCTCAGGGATAGCTTGAGGGATATTACAACAGCTTAACAATAGCTCACTCAAGGGACCCACGGACGGAAAAAATGTTAAAAGTGATGTATAAGAGTAGAAGGATATCTTGGGGGCGAGAGAAAGATGGTGTAGTGACCACATCAACTCTATCCGCGTATGCTCCTGCTCCTTATGCGCAGCTCGTTGTTTTACCGGCCTACTACCACCTATTTGGTGATGCTACGTTGGTCCTTCACTTTCAGCAATGCTACTAAACCGTACGCTTCTCTCTTCGCTCTGCAGAGCGTACCAATAAAACCATCGGTGAGGTTTCGTGATATCAGTAGTTGTCTTTTTGGTTGGCTCCTTCGTCCTTTGCTCGACCTACATATTCAAAGTCAAAGTCAAAGTTTTATTATGGGAATAGCTTACAAGCTGGTGCTTCTCTTGTCCCATAGGATGTTTACATAGATGAATCGTTACACATCAAAAAAGGAGCCACACAGGGATCCGGGTAGGAGATAGAGAATGTAGGCTACAGTGAATCCCATTTGCCTTTAGTGTACGAATGTGAGGTGTGCCAAGATTTTGTCGAGTCTCTGCTTGAAAGATTCAATAGTGGGTGCACAAACGACATGAGATGGAAGGGCATTCCAAGATTTGCATACTCTGACAGCAAAAGACTGGCGCCGGCAATCCGGTCGAGACTTTGGAATTAGTAGTTTGAAACGGTGTCCCCTTAGGTGTAAATTGTTCGATAACATGAGAAGCGATCGACACGGATGGTTTGGGTTCTTCAGTATTTGATACGTCAAAATCAAGTCTCCTCGAGTTCGGCGATACTGAGCGGAATATAGTCCCAATGATCGCAATCTGTCCTCGTATGACAGGTATTGGAATCCCTTAACCATCTTGGTGGCCATCCTTTGTGGACGCTCA